CAAGACATATATAATTTAAAAAAAAAAATGTTTGATGATTCAGTGGAATCTGAATGGATTTCTCAAAAACCAAAACCTCAATGATTTAAAATTGATTACTTTATGCCTTCAGGAGACAATCTAAAATATAATGACTCCCCTCTAAGCTAAATAACTATAAATGCGTAACAAAAACCTTCAAATTTACCTCAGAGCTAGCGGGGAAGTGTGCGTATCTACTTATCTATAATTAATAGATATTTATTAACGACAACCTTCCATGGGAGGAAATACCAATTGTCTCAAATCTGGAGGTCATAGCAGTAAACATAACTCTCGAATATAAAGGTATACAATTGGTCATAGACTCAAACATTACAAAAGCAAAATTTTTTTCAAATTCCCTCAGTGCTATAAACAACATAAAAATGCACACAATACTTACAATACAAACATATAGGTACAAGATTTGCTTCAACGTGGAAAAGAAAAGGGAAACACGGTACAACTGTACTGAATACTTGGTCATTCGGATATTATCGAAAATGAGATGGCTGATAAGGCAGCCAAAGATGCAATAATTAACCCTTTAGCAACAGCAGTCCAATTCATAATCAAACATGATTTATTACCTATAATAAAACTGCACTGTACCAATATGTGGCAGGCCAACTGGAATTCCATGCGCACTAAACTCCACGAAATTAAACAAAATGTGTTCACATGGCTTCATCCCTAAAACCCTTCCTAGAAAGTAGAAAGTTAAAAGTTATACTCGCTAGATTACGKATCGGGCATACACAAATTACTCACAACCATTTAATGAGCAAAAACGATCCTCCAGTATGCCCAACATGTTGCACTGAATTATCAATGAAACACATAATGACTGAATGTCCTTCATACTCCGAATCAAGACTAGCCTTAAACCTTCAAGAACATTTATCGGAGTCACTCGGCCAAAACAGTTMATCACTTTCAGCTAYCATAAAGTTCATCACAGAGACAGAACTACAAAATAAAATATGAACRCTGGAAAATAATACAGTTGTCAATGTAAATACAACCCAATGTAACTTAAATTTTGTAACCCAATGGCCTATGTCGCCGAGGGTATATTTCGTGTTAATATAAAAAAAWAAATAGCGTTTATATCATCATCTTAAATTATAGTCACRTTTCAATTACTATTCATACCTATTTGCAATGTCTCCAGCGATAATATTTAAAAACATTCACCGGCCAAAATATCCCGATAAATACACAATATTTCAAACCTATAATGCGCTTATATTGTTTATTAATTTAACTTTATTTCTACGCTGTCTGTAAATTCTTACGGAAGGAATGTGATGAACAAAAAAAGCTAGGTCACGAGACAACAATCAATTCCAATAAGACTGAAAAAGGTTTCTCATTGACAATATTGTAAGAAAAGATATACGCCGTGACTGGTCGGAGAATAGTCGTATCCAGGTGGCCGTCAAACACACACCATACCGTACAATGAAATTACTTCAATCCTTCTGACCGTTTGCGAATTCGACTTTTCGACTCGTCCGTTATTTTATCAGCCAATACTAGCGTATTATATATATAAATATATAAATATATATGCCGAAACGTATTTTTGTATGTACCAGTTTTATTATCTCTGTTGTACAAACAAATAGACACAAAAAAAAAAAATTGAATTAGAGCAGAACAAAGCATTCAGATCACGGAACGGTATAAGCCAATATTATATGATTTTCTCACGTTGAATAAACTTAATTAGGATTATGATTAACTTTGAAACGTGTGATTGGGCATAGAAATCTCGTGGAACATCTTTTTTAYGTTTACCTGTATCGCATTTATCCGTCTGAGTGCAATCTAAGAATGTTCACCGGTCGTGAACAAACTTAACTTGACTCAATTTGATGGGAAAAAATTAATTTAGAAGAAACCTTTTATGCTAATCCTCAAAATCAATTTGTATCGTTCTAGTAGTTTATTGCTTCTGTCACATCACTTTTATCAAATCTATTTTTTATTTTTATTTTATTTATACAAATTATCTTAATATTTGATACTTTTTAATTTATATACTTTTAAAGTTTAATTTATTGTTTTCCCGTAATCTGTATTATTTAAAAATTAGCAGATCCGATTTGTTTTAACTAATAAAGTAATAATAGTTATGTTTGTATTAAAATATGAATTTTTTAAATATCCATAACTATTTTTTGTTTGTTTGTACAATTACAAAACGCGAATAAAATTTTTTTTAGAATTGAAGTACAWTAAATTGTATTCAAATATATCTCTGGCCAAATTTTGTATATCAAAATTTATCATTTATTTGATGTCTTTGTAGCAAAACAYATTTTAAAAAATGAGTTTATTATAATAAATTAATCGACGGCTGGAGTCGTCTAATCCAATAGTGTATTTTGTTTGAACAAATTTATTAATTAACTAAACATTATTAAGTAAATTTAATAAGTCTCAAATAGATAAAAAATTTAAAACAGAAATGGAATCAATGTTTTAATTTAAATTAAAAAAAAAAAAATAGTGAACAATATATTTAGCCCATAATCAATTAAATATTAAGTGAATTAATAACAATTTTTCACTGCCAAATTAATGCTTAGTTGATTAATGTATTTATATATTTAATAAGATAACTAAACTACGTGCATATAATATATAATTGTCTATCTATATACAGGGTCACTCAAATTGTAAGTCGAAAAAATGGTAAGGATTACTGTAACTTCTCAAGTAATCTCCGCCACTTTTACATTGTAATATTTCAACGGTGTTTCTTAGAATATTATATTAATGTATTAGTGTAAATATGTAATTATTAGTATGGAACACTAAAACACAACTAGTATGAATCAATTTTACTGATTTTGTTTACTTAAATTTTATCAATAATGCACTTATTATCAATAATTTATCCAGCGATTTATTCAACACGCGACTTACTGGGTCCTGTTCTGCAATCACCTGACATATTCGTGTTCCTCCAGGAGACAGGACTGGACAAACTTATTTAACCGTTTAAAAAAACACAACCTTATTATAATTATACTCATATAATTTAGACATTTATTGTTATTAAACCTTTTTTTATTATTATTATGTAACACCTTTAAAAAAAAAAAAAAAAAATGTATCTTATCCCAATGGCCAAGTTGCCGAAAGGTTATTTCTTTAATAAAAAAAAAAGCGGGGAATCTCTGAATAGGGTAGATTAAATTTGAATGCAATGATAGGTATCAATGTATCATTGTATACGAAAAACAATTCTGAACGGAGATGATTTATCAGTCTATGATATATTATATTTAAATATTGTCATATATGAATTCTATTTTGAAACAAATATTTTATTTTTCAATTAGGACGCATTTTGCATGGTTAATCAATTTTTCCAAAAACATTGCATGTAGTTATCATAATTCATAATACCTTATATTATCATAGATATACATATACCTGGTTTGAGGATAAATCGTTATCATTACGTGATTTCATAAAAATTTAAAACTCGAACGCTCAAAACACTTTTCCTATAATGACGCTTCAAATTTCCTTTATAGATATTTGAAGAAAAACTTATTTTATAACAACACGATTTAAATTTAATGTACAGGGACAAAACACACAAGTTTTTTGTTTTATATAACTCATTTTGTTATTATTGTTTCCCTAAAATTTATATTATGGATGCTTAAACATTATATAACTGTGTCAATATTTACGAAGCTAATGTATGTTGTTTATATAGAGTATAGACATACCACTGACTTAGTCAAGTTACATTCAGACGTATACTATCTATACTGGATGCAGTGCCGCAACTACCGGGGGTGCAGGGGGTTCATTCCAGACTGTATGATGACTGCGGATGTGTATATTATATTAATAATTTAAACAAGTAACATTTTTTTTTTCAGTTTACAAATGACAGAACAGCGATTAAAAAAATAAACAATTTGATCGAAATGTTTGTTTTCGATTAGGTTACAGACACTTCATAGTCGTATAATATAATATATTTCGATCAGATATTGTATTTTGAGTAGGTATTTCAGTTGATAACAAAACCATCAACTGTAATCGGAGTATATGTGAAACTTATATACAGACATCATGGTTTGCATATAAATCGCAAAACAGTTGAATTAATTTAAAAATATAATATGTTGTCATAACAGTATATTTATTGAAAATCAAAATATATCTAACAGATTTTGTAAAATATTATTGACAAAATAAGGAATTTRCATAGGTAGAATATTAGAATATAAATATTTTATTTTTATTACCTATTATGATTTGTATTAATATTGTAATGTTTTTTAAATTATATCATATTTTAATGATACGATATACAATTTTTAAAGTAAAAAGTAAATTAAACCACTACTAAAGTTTTACAGTTTAATATAGTTTAATATTCATTATTCAGAAATTAAATAAAAAATTTAAAAGTTTTACTTGAATCAAGTTTTATAAACATACATTTATATATTTTAAATACATATTTTATGTATTTGTATTTTATACCTTAAAAACAAAATAAAATTATGTCTTTGAATTTCGAAGCATATCCAACCACTGTTTATTTTTCAGCCTAGGTACAATGCAAAGTGTTAAAATGACAGGCGTCCAGTTTTGTTTATTTCACTAGCTTACTGTGAAATATAATTATTATTTACTTATCATTACTGGAAAAGTTAGACATCACGACTTTCAAGAATTTGTATATCTACGTTTAATCATTGTAAATAATGGTATATTATTATATCCCGGTGTATAATTTTTATAATTTTTTAACGTATCATTAAAAAAATACATCGAAGTTGGGAAAATATAGGAATATTACCTACCTGTACCTATATTATGTATAGGATTTAATCACGTCCGTTTTATTGTTATTGTATTTTAACTTCAATTAAACTCCATCATATTGATAATAATATGTGTATATTTCAACCATTTAAAATTTTCTCTACTTACAGTTGGTGGTCGAAATCAATAGCCAAGTGGCTCAGTTTCGAGAATTACTGGTGCACATCGGTACAGCTCGAGATTCTCCGGAAACAAGGGAAAAGATCCGAAAGTTACGAAGAGGATGCGTGGATACATGCAAACACACAAGTCAATTACTCATACCTCAGATGAGAGGGTAAGTGTGATAAATTTCTTTTTATTCTTTCAATAAAATTTCTTTCTAAGATATGAAATACTCAAATATCTAAATATCTAATAAAAAAATGATAATAATCAGTGGTATTAGTTAAGGTTTTGAGAAACGTTTGAAACGTTTAAAACGTTTCAGAAGTATGAAATCAAATTATCAAATATATTATTATAATTTATAATATAATAATCACATTACGTCGAACATCGAGATAAATCAAAAATATTAAATAAACTGTTTTCCTGTGTGATTATGTTACACATAATATAATATATATTTTGATTTGTCGATCGTTCCAAAAGATAACAGCATTATTTTATTTTGTATAATTTTTTATTTATTTTGTATCATTTATGACATACCTACAAATATGACAAAACCACAAAACTATTTATCCATTCAACCGTATTTTCAAACTATAACTATAATGCAATGTATAATTCGATATAACTTTACAATATAGGTCCCTCTTTGAATTGATAATAATTACAAGTTACAGTTAAATTTTGATTGACTCAAAATTAAAGTTCATATTTTGTTTTAGATAGATTTGACACTTATGGTATTATGCAATATATTCTTCATTGCCTAGCTAAATCAGTTTTTGATATATTTATTTAATTTTATATACTAATACGAACAAATTATAAGTCATTATGACAGATGTCGAAAGTCCTAATGTTACAATGCTTATTATGTATGAAGTGGGGAGGGAGAATCCCGAAATCGTTATAATATTGTCATGTTATATCCCAAGAGAAAAAAGCAGTAATGGATATATAAAACATTTTAAAACAACAAAATCTTTATTGAGATATTATTACATTTTTATTTAAGTCAAAACACAACGTTTGATGAAATATATTCGTATAAACATGAAATCACATGATATCAATAATGTTGAGTATCGTGATCCTGATGATGACTCTGATAGTCCATCTCGAATTTTAAAAATTTTCAACTGGATAAATATTTTATAGTCTCATATTTTTATCTTTTCATAAATATTTTTTATCAAAGATTAAATGGTAATTATTTGTATGAAATTCGATATTGAAGAAATTTGTATAGTAAAAAAYCTAAAGCTTCGAATTAACTAATTAAAAAAAAATAAAAACATATGCATAGAATTTGATAAGTTAATGTACTAAAGTTGATTATAGTAAATAGACTAATAATTTAATAAAACGTATTTTTATAAAAAGAATATATCCCAATTGGAATTGTATTTTTTAACTTAATCTAAAGACATAATCATTATTAAGCAAAAATCAACTATAGTTATAAAAAATAATAATAATAATCAACTATATTTTATATATAAGTTGTGTATATTATGGAAATCATATTCACTTTAGAAATTTAATATTAAAACACTATGCCTTAACCAGGCCCTATTAGTTGTAAAATTCCGTACTGCACACTTAACTTTACTGCTTTAAATGAACATTTTATGCACTACTATCTTAGAAAAAGCAATGTATTACATATATATGTATATAAATATAAGTATAATAATTTAACAATGCAATCAAATTTTGTGAAAATATACGATGAACCTCTTGTCACACCAGTAAAGCATTTAGAACATATTTATATGAAAATATTTTGTTGTTTCCCATATTTTTTTCTGCTGATGCAAAAAAGAAAAAATGCATTAAATAATTAAATATAARTACAAATTCCTTTATAAAACAATGCTCATGTAATTTTCTTTGAAAATAGGAATGCAAACTATTCCCGTGTACATTATGAAGCAATGCAAGAAAATATTTAGTATAAAATTATTACTAGTCATACCTAAATCATGTTTCTTCCAGACATAGCGATAAGTACAAATTTWAGCAGCTAAAGGAAAAAATTCCAAATTAGAAAGAATAAAAACCCAATAAAAGTGTAACGTACAATATGAAATACTCTAAAAAAAATTGTGTATAAAAATAATTTGCTACTACAATATTATGTACTAAATTTAATTTTGACGTTTCCGTAATTTATTGAGAATAAATATCAAAAKTKTTTTGAGTTTTTAATATTGAAAAAATTTAACGTTTAAGTGAAAAATAATAATTTTAATTGTAATTATGTTACTAAGTATTCAGAAAATATTAACCGTAGGGACTTAATGCTTATCACCATTACGTTTATAATTTTCGGTGCATATTTACAAATGTATGATATAATATAATATATATGTATATTTATCAATTTATCATATTATTATACATTATGTATTACCTTATAAAAACTTTGCTTCTAAAGAAAGTAAACAAATCCTATATTTTATTACTAAGTCTAACCTTATTAATAGAATTTAATATGTAACTTATTGTAAATAATTTAGAGTTAAACCCATTGTTGCCAATGGCCATAGTTGCCGAGGCTTAATTCAAATTAAAAAAAAAAAAAATCCTATATTGTGCTGTGTATGATATATATTATCTTTAATACTTCAGTTGCTAAAACGAGAAATATAACTTAAACAGTTATAGTATGATATTATACATTTATCGTTTGCTACGAAATCCTAAGGAAACTCGAACACTGAATTTAATCTCAATGTTATACTTTATTGTTGTTGTTGTGGTAATTGTTATTCAGAAATAAATTAATAACAAAGCTCATACGATAGTTATATATACGTAAATATAGGTAAGTATAATCATTATTAGGATACAATGACGTTTCAAAATTAATTTTGATAATATTATGAATTTTATATGACGTGTAACTTTTAATATTTAACATGAATAGTAGATATAAACTTGAATGTTAAGAGTCCATTTTCAGTTTTCACCATGATAATCACACCATAATCAAGCAGGAATATCCTACTAATATTGTGTGTATTTATTGAAACTACTTTCTTCATATAATCGTGCCGTGATATTGACTACATCCATCACCCTGTTTATATATATACATATATATAATAGGGACTCAAGGGAGCACATAAATATATCATTGATATGTATTTTTAATTAGATTTGCACAATAAAAATATTTTTACACATATGATGACCTTAAGACAATTGAAATACAAAAATAGAAACACAACACACCAGTAGCACTATTTGTCCAGTAAAATAAAATTTAAAAAAAATTAACGATCGAAGTTGCAAAGTTACGACTTTCTAATTTATATCAATTTATATAATAAAAGATAATAATTATTAATTATTGTTTGTTATTCAAATGTAGGTATATCAAATACAATATCCATCCGTGAATTTCTAGGTTATAAAATCAAAACTAAAATACTAAAACACCTGTTTTTAGACAGAATAGAAGAGTACCTAAGCACAAAACTATAACAATTTATATTAAATATTGTCCAGAAATAATTAAAACATAAATATATCATTTAACAGGCAACATACATTATTTAACATTACCTAATAATAACAGGCAACTGCAGTGGTATAAGTTTCAATTTAAAATTTATAATATACAGACACTAATAATTGTGTTTGCTCGTTCTTAAATTAATATTTAAATGTATAGATAAAGAGCAATGAACAAARGAGGGCTCAGCTTGAAATGCATTGTTCGCTACATACATAATAGTATCAAGTTTATATGCAAGATTTACTTAAATAACACTATAGTTTACAGTTTTCGGGTAATCATATATGTGGCAGCGCAGTAGATGAATTCAATAAAGCTGGCTAGCTATTTTATGGGGTAATAGAATAATAATTTTAAAATATATAGTGTGCACATTTAATGAATCAACARTTGGAACCAAGTTGTTGAGTAGATAAGTCAGTTTGAATCCTACAAAACTTGAAATAATAAAAAAATGTATGTGTTTGGTTATTATTCGTTCAGTTTATATTCKTCTACGAAATATTGCGATGCTGTGCAAGACGTTACGATTACTATTATTCTAGTCACGAAAATGGAAATTTTACACCGTTCTTATCCGAACGAAACATTGTATTTAATCACTCCCAATAATAATTTTAACTATCTTAACAAAATACAAGATCGAAAAATTCTTAAAGTTGTATTATTATCACTTTTTTGAAACATAAATAAACATTATAATATAATATCTTAGTCTATTCTATATTAGACTCTTTTTACATGGTATGAAATAGAAAAGAGCAAAAATATGTTAGCACAGGCGATTGCTTGTCAACTTATTCGATTTATGACTGTCGTTTTTGATCAAATTTATTATATTCTTACGCCCTCCTGTGACAATATGTATAGATATTATATCCCAATTTCAATTTCAAAGTAAAAAAAAAAAAAAAATGTAAATTCATCATACTACTTTTATTTTTTCCTCGATATTTCATTCGTATTCGCAATATTTGTATACAGTGTGAGGAAAAAAGTACAGCTTTATTTTGGCACGAGCCATGTACAATAATTTTAAATTTAAATGCAGTGATATAAATCATTGCTTTGAATTATTTTCGAAATGCATATTGATTATAAATGAATATAATATATAATACGAAAAAACTTATGTTAAGTATGAATACACACCTAAATACAAAAATAACAAATCGTAATTTAAAAAAACCAAACTACATTTTCTGATTTTCTAAATAAAATTTAGAACTAATTAATCATTGCATCATGATTGTCAAGTTTTTGAAAATGCTGTAAATTTTATAGGTAACAATACAATTTTGCTTACTTTAAAATTTAAAACGATGAAGCCTATTTGGAATATTCACTAATGAGTTTATAAGTTTAGATGCAATTCTATCTCACCGATCAACTAAACTATTTTATGATTGATGTGAATGCAGAATTTCACGATTTCGATAATGATATTTAATTTCGGGACTTATTGGGTAAAATAAAGAATTAAAATTTAACCATACGATGTTTTTTTCGCTATATTGAAACTATATCATAAACAATTTTACCGTATTTTCGAGTTCTACATCATCTCCAGTCCGGTTGTTATAGTAACACAGAAATATATAGATATTCGATATAGGTACCTCAATATACTTCTATAT